CCTCGGACAGAATGGTGTTTTCTATCTTCCCTCTGATCTCATACTGGATTTTCTGTAAGGAGTCCAGGTAGCCGAGCATGGCATAGAAGTACTCGGTCGCCTTTCCGAAGTCCGGCTCGATTTTCACTCGATTTACGATCTCCTTCCTCCTCCTTGTGATGTTGGAGTACCACGGATACTCGTGCTGAAGTAGCTGGTACCTGAGAGTGGTTCAACGCCTACTGAACGCAGCCGCATGGCGAATCCAAATAGTGGAACATATTATTCAAATTCTATTGGAGCCGATGTTAAAGCACGTTCCTTTGCATGCGGTATCGACTTAAGCCTTTGCAGCTCCTAGCGTAAATTTGGGATCTGGAAGCACATCTTACGTATCAAAATGTCAACACACCCGAAAAATCCCCTGACGCTGTCATATACACAATGCAGTGCGTTGTGTAGTTGCGTTCCCAATGGAGCAGCGAACCGCGTGCTGCGACAACCGCTTACCTGTCCTTGATCCAGTACGCGAAGCTTTTACTGGCGTTGAGGAAATCCTGTCCGAGCGCGTCGTTGGTGACGAAGCTGAGGTAGCTGTTGTGGTCGAGGTCACCTCTGCCGAAGTACTCTTCTCCGAACACCATGCTGATGCCCAGATGTTCGATGGCGCGGATCAGGTTTTTGTATGCCAAAAGAGGCCGCCATACACCTACGGCGAGCGGTGGGGGTCAGGCGTGCGTGCAGTGCATATAACATTACGTGCAGCACAGTGGCTGGGTAACCGACCCCCCCCCCCCACTCCTTTAGCGACTTTTACGCAACAGTGCGCATTTCATTTCGTACCATTATGACCCCATGTGACTGGGAGGCGGAAACAAGTAGGGTGGTGGCGGCCCACGGACCGATGACGTAAGTGCGTTTTTTTTTTATCTCGACAATGACGTGCCAGTGTCTGGTGAGCATCCGAAGTTTCTAGGTACAGTCACTCTGATACTTCAGGATCTCAATATGTTTGAGAATTTGCTGGGACGATTTCCTCACTGAAGTGTTTATGCCCACTTTTTATCTTTCAGATTAATGGCACGCGTCCATAGCGTGCTTTTGTTCTCGGTGTCAAGCCACGCTTAGAAGCATTCGAGAACCGCATGGGGTGTGGGTGGAGGATTTGACCAAGTCAGGCTTCGCATGACTTCCACTCACCTGACGAGTCCTTCTCCTTGATCTCCCTGGTGAGCTGATCGAGGAAGATGTAGTTGGCGCGGTTGTAGAACTGGATGCCGGCGTCGATGGAGGGTGTGTCGAAGCGCGTGATTTTGTCCCGGAAGTCATCCAGCCGGATGCGGAACAGGATCTTGTTCTGGAACAGCTGGTCGCCGATGCGGAACTTGGGCCACTTGAGCTCGTCGATCAGCTGGTTGGTGTACTGGAAGTGCTCCGAGAGGTTCCGCCGGATCACAGAGCCGTTGGTGAAGAGGAAGAAGGCGATCTCGGCACGCTCAGACTGCAGGGCTTCCGTGACGTTGCCCAGGCCGGTGCTGATTTGCACCTGAAGGGCAGGCCCAGAATCCACATGGCTTTTAGGGCACAGGTGTATGTCAGGGCTACCAGCCCTGAAGGGCGGGCCCAGAGTCCACATGGCTTTTAGGGCACAGGTGTATGTCAGGGCTACCAGCGGCGCGATGGCTATCAGCATCGATCTTGGTCGTTCAGATTTACAGCCGGTTGGGTCGTTCAAAACTTGCTCACGTTGATGCGATTTAGCGTACATTACAATACCGTTCGCGCCCCTTTTTGAGTCGAACGTAGTCCGGCTGTTGCGGAATCCAGCACAAAGTTTTTGGTTTATCCAGCAAGTCCAGCTTTGAGCCAGTCTAAGACGTGACACGACATGGGCGCCACCAGAGGCCACATTCAGCTCAGAGAGGCGACGAATACTTCACTTCCATTCCCTGGGACGCTGTACCCAGACCCCGTGCTAACGAAACGCTTCACAGCGCAGGGTGAGGCGTTCCTTAGACAGTCCCATCCAGCTTCGTGAACATCAGAGCTCTGCAGCATCTGGCACCAGGCGCCGCCGACACCCACCTGACTTCAACACCTGGCACCAGGCGCGCGCCGACACCCACCTGACTTCAACACCTGGCACCAGGCGCGCGCCGACACCCGCCTGACTTCAACACCTGGCACCAAGCCCACCGATACCCGCCTGACTTCAGCACCTGGCACCAGGCCCGCGCCGCCACCCACCTGACTTCGGCACTGGCACCAGGCCTGCACCGTCACCCACCTGACTGATAGTCTCCTGCATCTCGTACTGGTACTGCAGCACGCTGATCATGTTGACGGCGTTCTGGATGATGAGCGCCATGATGGGGATGAAGGGCAGGCAGAGCATCTGCGCCAGGTGGATCTGCTTGCCCCGGCCGGTGGTGGGGTCCAGGCCGCAGCATCCCGTCTTCACCTGCGCGCAGAACGGCCCTACGCCTCGACACGACACTCAGACGCCGAGGCACGCAGAGTGCACAGCGCGCAGAACGGTCCTGGGTCTCAGCATAACACACAGGTACCGGGGCACGCGCAGGGAAGACGTCCGGCGACGCCTGGTCCGCAGCACGCTTGCAGTGTTATCCGTGGCGACGTTTACCGTCACATTTGAAGACCATTCTGATCCTGTGGCCATCCATCAGCGGGCTGTCTGAAGCGACTCACGTAACTCGCCGATGTTATCGCGTGTCGAGCTGCCCCCTCCTCTTCCCTGAGCGGCACCCATGGCAGAAAGTCTTGAAATGTCTTTTTTAGAACACGAGTCTCTGCTTAGGAATACGATTGTGGAGCGTGTGCTTATCTATTAACTTCCGTAAGTGCTTCTACATTTTATTCAGTTGGCCTCGGTCTGTTCCTTGACTCCTGTGCCATTGAATGTGATCGCTTGGTTAATGTGGCAGTTAAATGGCATAATGCGCTTTTACTATGAGAATGCAATACAAATAGCAACAATGTGAATCAATGCAATAATAATATTAATATGACACTATTACATGACGTTTCGTTCATACAGGCGTGCTGCCACCTGTTCATGTTCAATTTCATGTTATTCCCGAATCATTCCAACAAGTGGCTTATGTTTGATTGGGTGCAATTACAATGCTAGTATTAATTCATACATACTTCACCACCTTTCCCGTCGTTTGTACACTTGTCAAAAAAAAAATAAGTGACCAATATATATATATATATATATATATATATATATATATATACATAGATGCGACACTTATATGTCCAACAAAATACTTTCATATCCAGCGAGTGACACGCTGCTGACGCATAGAGCATCGTGTAAAGTCCATTGAACCGGAAATCGTTGAACAAGACGATAGAAACTGCGCGCTTTACAGGCAATGCACATAGTGTGCACAGATATCTGCGCAAAATATGGTCTCATGAATTTTAATGATCACTTAATCACGCATTGGTCTACAGGCAAGGCGGGCAGAGGGTCATCGAACTACCGAAAGCATGTTGCGCGTGTTTAACACACGCATGTAAAAACGCAAGACACCGCTTGATTTCATTTTGCTCGCGCAGCCAACCGTATTAGTTGAAACGCATGGCGACATATCCGGAAAACCAGAGTGGGACCGATCATAACAATGTTGGAATGCAAACTATAAGTCTAACGACCCGGTTACATATCAATTGCACACGGTCCTCTGGTTTCGGTAGGATTTCGACTTTAAAGGGAAAGTGGTGAGAGGCGAATGAAAAATGTAATTCATCTAAAACATTCACGCCGGGGGTTTGATACTTGACGGAAATGTCGGTGAAATCGGAGTCATTGCTGTCGTAAAAGGCAGTGGATGGCAGATGCCAGGAACATGGTGCCGGCCAGGTCCAGGTGGCTGGCTTCTGGCACGCGGCGCGGTGGACCGCCGTTCGTCCCGCCACGGCCGTGGCTGACAGACAGCACTCATGTGCAAAACACGGCTGACCATGGGTGGTATGCCGTGAGCACCTCTTCGGCTGCGAGCGGTCGGGACGAAATCAGGCAAGACTGGGACCACTCGGAATATGCTTGATAATACCAGTCCCTATCCGTTTTGATGAAAACATTGAAGAAGCGTCTGCTGCCAAAATACCTGCTTTGCTGATTTTCCGAACTCGCATGAAAAGTTCTAAAGCTTGGTTCGCAGTGGTCCAACAATCTCAAGTAGCTGCATTGGCTGGAGAAACATTAGTTCAAAAGGCTCCTTCTAAAATGCGTTACGCTGAAGCTGTATCGTGGGTCCTGCAAACAACCCAAAGTTGAAGTTGTTGCTTTTGACCTCAATGGACGTTTAAAATTCAGCATATGAATGCACTGGCTCATACGCAGGAAGACCTATCCTCGTGCCGTTAATCGCACCAAAACTGCACTCAACACCATTTCTCAAAACGCATTCGAGAACTGCGGGGTCCACGTCGCCTCGTTTTCATCACCAGCAGCGGCAGCGCCAGCCCAGCGCCGTTCCTCCACCCCCGCTCCGGTGGCGGGCCCCAGACACGCGGCCGGCGGCGACGCTCACCTTGAAGACGCCGCCGTTGAACTCGACGAGCTTGCTGTCGTCGTCGCTGTCCTCGAGCGAGAGGGCGGAGCCGCGGCGGGCCCCGCCACCGTCCTTCACCTTGTTGTTCTTCAGACCCATGGCGCGGTCGAGTGGGCGGCTCGGAACATGACGGGCCGCCCTCTGGCTGCTGCGTCCGGCCGCCGAGCCGAGCGCGACTGGCCGCCCCGCCGCCCCGCCCCCCGCCGGCCAGCCCAGCCCGCCGCGCGCCCAATAACACCGCCCAATATCGGGCCCGCTTTAATTTCGGCGTATTAGCGCGGCTTGTTAAGCGCCGGTCGATTTGCTGATGAGACGGAATTGAGGCGGGGTAATAAGATGCGGTCAGTGAGATGGGGGGGGGGAGGGGGGGGGGGGCGTCTCCCGCGCTCCGAAGGGGTGGTCGGCGCGGCGCCGGCCAGACGCCGGCAGGGGCAGTGTCGGAGAAGGCTGTGAAGGACCCCGGCGTCGCCGCCGCCGGCTCCGTCCCGGCGCCATGCCTAACAAGAAGAAGAGCAAAGATGGCGACGACAAGGAGGTAGGTGGAGTCTGAGCGAAGGCTGGGGTGACGGAGCGATGGGCGCCGGCTGGAGGACCGCCCGCTGATGGTGACGGATGCTGGGTGTAATCTCGAGATGACCACTTTTGATATTTGAGGAGGACGTTCGGTTTCAGCTTTCGTTGTGACAGACGAAGGATCATGAAGCAATGTAGTACTGGACGTTGGCTGAATGGGGGCATGCCATGACTGTAGCCCGGTACGCTGCGATGAAGCTTGCTCAGATGAAGCTCGGTGAGCACCAACACACTTGTAGACGTACACGGATGACCCTTTTGATATATTTGTATACCGCTCGCCTTGAATATTTTTTTGTGAACTCCATCGATGCCGCACAAGACAATGGGCCGCGAATATCAAAGAAACCCCGATTATCCCCACATGTTTCATCCATGCGCGGCAGGCACTGGAGACCTGCTTTATAATTGTATAACTGAACTTTTAACCGAGTACAGGTGCGACCAGTTATTCCATGATCTTGCTAATTGAAAAAATGAGAAAAGACTTGCTGAAGTAAATCGCGAATGCCAATGGATTTAGTGGATAAAACAGACAGTGTCAAGGAGCAGAGGATCAATGCAAAATGAAAGTGTGCCGAACGTGTTGAGTGTGGTCTTTCGCATCGTGGTATACCTCGTAAGGGGCGCCCCCAACAGTGGTGACTTGTGCGTCGTCAGCCAGAGGAGTAGAAATGTCGTGGAAACTAAGGGGGGACGGGCAATATTGACTTTAAAGGTGCTTCATTTCATGCAACATTACCGTGTTCATGTCAAACGTTCCCAAAAAGGGGGAAAGCTTGACCCTCTTTTCCCTGTTCTTACAGCTATGCTGTCAAATGTCAACAACTCTACTCATAGCCGAAATAATCGAAGCCTTTCTTGTGGACTCGGGTTCGGGGAGTGGGGGACAGAGAGTAAAACAAATCTACCAGTAAAGCATGCTGGAAACTTGGTAAAAGAATATTGAGAAATGGCAGGGAGCTGTCATCCAAGGACTTGCTGAGGAAATCGCGAAGGGAAAGGAACAATTATGATCGTGCTCGCACATCCGACACCATGTGATGGCGGCGTGACGTCGCTTCATGAAATATATAGACTGGCGTATGATGCGGCTGATCTCAGTTTAAATGGCTTCAATGCAAACTTCTCTCATTCTTTGGCTAGTTAAGTTTTGTGAGGGATTTTCGGCCCCACGTCTGCATCTGGTCTCAAGGCCCGATTACAATGTGTCAGTCAGTTGAGTATTGTGCCGCTGGCCAATCAGGAATGAGCTTCGAAGAAATAGGACGGCGAACCGCTATTTTTGTTCATTGGGTGACTTCGTGCATAGTGCATACATGAGCTTTTAACCAGGCTGCATCGAATACAAAAATTGAGAGGGATTGCGCAACAAACCGTGTTTCCAAAAGATATGCTAATGCAGGTCGTTTGCCTATTACATGCTTCTTGCCAAATACTGCTGGCTAAATGAGCAATCTTTTTCCATGATGGCTATTGTCACATGGCAAGCCTGGATTTTGCCTCCTTTAAGTCTCCTTGTTCGTTCGGTCACGACCGTACTGTGGGCATTTGGCGACATTTTCTGTCTGCTGAACAGCAAGAGCTTTATGCAAGCAACCAAGCTAAAATATGAGAAGTGGTCTGCTGGCCACCTCCGTGGTGCAGAACAGGCGTTCTAACCGTAGGGAAGGGAGAGGGTCTCCCGGCTGAATTACAGGCATCTTGGGAACGGGCATCGCAGTTCGGTCAAATCAGATCAGGGTCAAGAAAGATAAGTTTTGAGACAGTGTCAAACGAGTAGGGGGGGGGGGTGGGGGGGGGGGGGGGCGTGGGGCTTGACAGTGTTTAGCCACAAGCACTAAGCCGAAAAATACGCTATTATGGTACATTTTTGCCACAATGCAAATAGTGGCAGTGTTTCGTCTGACTTGGTGTGTTCAGATGCGAGTGCGATATCGACATGTCTATTGTGTGATTCGACTTGTGTTGCCAGCACGTAATCGTTGTGTAAAACAATGCCCTTGTTGGCTTATCAGCCGCTTACATGGTCGCTTTCACAGTAAGAGATAAGAATATTTGTGGCTTGTGCCAGCTGAGATTCGCTGTCGGACGCGGGGGTCATAATTCGATGCATCCTGAGGGGAAAATGGATGTAGAAGTTGGGAGACACTGGTGAGAAGGGAATGCGCTGGACTAAAAACCAGCGGCGTGGTTACGAATCCCTTAACGGACACAGTGCTTGACAAGACCGACATGGAAAGACCAGCTGACAAAAGTCCGAAGAGGGCCGACCATGCTCGAGGTGGCCGGGTCACGGCGCTACACGGCACGCAGACCCAATCGCAGTCCTGAAGCCCGTCTGACAACAGCTCCGGGTGCTAAACTGTGCGGTGAACTGGACCGGCAAAACTTGGGTGCTGGATGGAGTGTACACCCAAACAAGCCCTGCCTCGCAAGTGCTTTGAAACCACAGCCACTCATGTAAACTGCTCAGAATGGATTTAAAAATAAGGAAACAGCAGTTAGCCCATAACTATCTAGGTGTCTCACGACTGAGGCGTGATCACATTCACTCGCTCCTGAGACTGCATGGGGTGCGATATTAATATATTTTCAGGCAGCTCCACCTGTCTTGCTTTTGCACACCTCCACACCCTATGATGTGATTGCCCACTGTTGTGCGATTCATGAGTTCGTTGGGTTTCGGTGACGCAGTGGTTGGGCTGTGCATCTGGAAAACTAGAGGTACAGGGTTTGACCCTCCGCGGTGTCCGCCCAGAGTGAGAGGCAAACGTGGCATAGAGCGTTAAATGCTGAATGTGTCGTAAAGCCACCATCAGTAGCCCGTCCACCCGCCTACTTTCTTTTAACATGCCATGCCCATTGTCAATGTCTACACTTGGGTATTTTCTCGAAAAATGTAGTAAGATATTAACATCAACGACAACAATAGCAACACCAACATCTGGAGGCGTTATGGACTAGATGGGGTTGAAATATGTCGCCGATTCGCAGATGATGCGTGCGCCGACACCATGCAGTTGGTACACAAACGTAGCTGCTTTGGCTGCTGATATTTCTAATGAACCCCTTAAATACCAAATTCGAGCAGCTTTATGGTCTGTCACCGCGCACGAGTGACCTACCGCACACACCGACCCGCAGTTTTGCTTGTGCCATTGTCCGTCCTCGTTGGTCTTGTGTGGCCGGAATGACGAATATCTGGGCCCGTTCTCGACCTGCGTTGTGACCTGAACACCTTGCTATTGTTCCCATGTGTATGATATGGAGAGGCTGTATTTTGGTGGTGTATAGGGGATGTGCGAGTTCTAAGTTTGATTATGTTGCAGTGATATATACAATCACGTCCTAACGAACCATTGTTTTCAGTTGCCTTGAACGGATCGAGCCCAGGAAGCCAATTACAATAGCGTTTTAGTCCATATAGTAGGCTGAAATCAAAGCGCAGAAATGATAGCATTGCGTGTGTTCGGAATTTTCTGAGGTCCTAGGCTACGTTTGGTCAGAATCTTCTGCCCGCTCAGGTGAACAAAATAGCGAACTGCTTTGGTAATACCCAGTTCTTAAGAAATTACGAAACGGGCAGGGCAGCCGCATTCTTCTATTGCACTGTACTCACGTCTCTAAGCTCACTCACCGCCAACATCGTCACAGGGGGCCAAGGAGACGTCGGAGCGGGCCGAGAGTGAGGCGCTTGAGATGAAGTTGCCGCCCAACCCGCGCCGCCTCTCCGGCATCTCCATCGACAGCGAGGACTCCACCAAGATGGTCGAGGTGCGCACCTGGGTCCACACTCGTCCCAGCTGGTGGCCCCCAATTAGACAGACAGCCTGTGCTAGAGAAAGATGCTGACATCCACTGATTCGGTGCTGGTAAAAGAGACTGCCATGTTGCTATGCGCCCTTGCGCCAGCCGTACTCGGGCAGACAGGGGGCGGAAGGAACAGGTAAGCTCCATGCTAACAGCTGACAACGGCATCGAACCGCCGTAGGTGTCTAACAAACGACTGGGTCAGATGTTAAAAGTGTAGAAGAAAGTATTATGGGTATAGCATTTGTTCCCCTCCCCCCCAAAAAAGAAGAAAATAAACACAAAGCCGACCGTAGCCAGTGAGCTCCACGCTGATGGCAGACGGGTGAAGAGGGTCAGAGTCAACCGTTTGTTCGTTGTATCTTCGAAAGGAGCTGCCGATCTCAGAGTCAGTCCAGTTCCCCGACAGCTGTCTGGACAGCCCTATGTTCTCGCTGCTCGCTGGGCTTGCTTGCAAAGAGCTTGCTGAACAACTCAATTTTATGGCAGGTTAAGACGGGCTGCTGCGGCATGGACCCCACCACAGGACGGGGGAAGCAGCTCCACCTGATCCAGATGCTGCTGCTGCCTTTCATCCCCATCATGGCGCTCATCATACAGAACGTGGTGAACATGGTCACTGTGCTGGAGTCTCAGGCAGACATGCAGAAGACCATCGAACAGGTAAGCAGTCGCGGCTTAAGACGCTGTTTACCACCTTGTAAGGAGGAAGGTATGCTGTATTCGCATTACATAGCGCTAAGACCAAACCTAACCTAATTAGAAGTCATGCAACTGATGTGCACCGAGGATCGATTGTTAAGTGCTCATACTTGGCGGCTTGAGTCGATGGATCGATAATCGCAATCGCCAAGGAAGCATTAATGAAGATGAAATCAATTGCATATTAAAACATTTAATGACATCATCAAAACTAAATAGGCATGGATCGCTACGTCAAACGATGCAGTAGATACGTATTTTCAGGTGCAAATCAGTACCGACCTGGGCAACGTCACGGAAGCCCTGCAGTCTGAGCGCGCCGAGATCGCCTTCTTCCTCTTCACCAACGGCTCCGTGATCCGGCGGAACCTCTCCGAGCACTTCCAGTACACCAACCAGCTGATCGACAACTTGCAATGGCCGGAGTTCCGGATCGACGACAAACTATTCCTCAACAAGTTCCTGTTCCGGATTCGCTTGGACGACTTCAGGGACAAGATCAGGAAATTCGACACGCCCTCCATCGATGCCGGAATAGCGTTCTACAACAGGGCCAATTATATCTTTCTGGATCAGGCGAGTTAAAAAAATCGGGAGAGGGGAGGCCTGTTTTGTACCCGTTAGTATCTTCCGAATCCGGAGATTTCGTGTGCAGGTCGAATTAAACTTCTCGTCGCGTTAAGCTTGACTTCCAGTTTTCACAATCTAACGGACGATTTCATGACCAGTTAGATAGCATCACGTCCTCTCAGAACGGTATTGACATGATACCTTCCCCACCACATATATCAGTGCGAGCGTTTACACCTGGTGCCTGACGAAGGATGTTGCCAGCGAGCACAAAATCAGTCAGTGCAAACGTCGACCGTTAGAAGCACCGAATGTTGACGGCTAAGGTTGGGAACCCCAGGCCATTCATTCCCTGTGCTGACGCCTTTTTTTGTGTCATCCGTGTGGACGCGGTGCTCTCAGCACCTAATATTGCACACACTGTAGGTGACTTGGTGTTTGCTCCCATCATGACTCAGCGCCTGACGCCTCCTTGACTGAGGGTGACTTGCGTGTGCTGCTGCCAGCTCACTCGGGAGATCAAGGAGAAAGACGCCAGCGGCGTGTGGCGTCCGCTCCTCGCCTACAAGAACATGATCCGTGCCATCGAGCATCTGGGCATCAGCATGGTGTTCGGCGAGCAGTACTTCGGCAGGGGCGACCTGGACCAGAGCAGCTACATCGAGTTTGTTACTAACGACGCGCTTGGACAGGACTTCCTCAACAGCAGTCAGAACTTCGCATACTGGATCAAAGATCGGTATGTCGCTTCAAGCAGTGCGCGATCGCTAGTTTTCGCCGCACCGGAGTAAGGTTTCATGCATGACAACTGGCCAATTGCCCCTAAACCACGGATGAATGACCCCCAAAAACGTGCTTGGATCGTGTCTGGGGACATCGTTATGCCTTCCAAATTATCTTTACATCGTGTCACGTCACCTAACTGAGAAGATAGGTGAGCGATCCTGAGAAGAATTATTGCTTTCTAGTCGTTGACTGATCTTTGGTAGCATGAGTGGAACACGGCTATGTTTTCGGCGGCCAGAATGCTGAAATCGTCTGGTCGCTTCGTGACGAGCTTACGATTCCCTGACGGTAAATGAAGTCTATGTATTTAAATTAAGTCCTATACTAACGTGTTCATGTTCTACCAGAAATCGGTGTGAACAAAACTGTCTCTTCGGTTATCATTCCCGGCACAAATTTGCACCTTTCCGATTTCAGTTTATATAAACTTGTTTTCCATTTGCCCACATTTATCCATAGGGAGGCGTATGCATTCAGAACTAAATGGTTTATTACATGCGATGAGCGAATAGTTGCACTCGCAACGCTTTCGAATTGCAATGTAAGTGCAGATCCACGCCCTTTCTGATAACTCCCCTCCCCGCTGGCAGTACTGCATCGCGTCGTTTGCCCTTTCCCAGGTACGTGCAGCTGCAGAGTATGTACCCCTGGTACTCCAACATCACCCGACGACGTCACGAAATTTTGCTGCGAGAGAAGATTGACCCCCGACTTTGAGAAAGCTACGGAGTACTTTTATGCCATGCTAGGGTACCTCGACGCCCTGAAGACGATCCAGTACGAGATCCGGTAAGACGTTGTTCTGAATACTTAATTCCTGGGTGGTTGTCGGAGCCTATATTTGTGCAGAGTCACTAACAGCTTCACCCAGGTATCCCAGAACTTAATTAGCAAAGCCTTACACTAGTTACGTCAAATGAGTAATCGCGATATATTTCACATGTTCACTATCCAAAGGTCAGCACCAGAAAGAAAAAAACAAGTCCAGTTTTCACAAACATGATAATTATGTATTTCATTGCATCGCAAAACGCAATACATCGGCTTTGATGCAAGGAAATTTCACAATGTTCGTCGTTTCCTGCCGCAGTTTTCCGGAAACGTTTTCCTTGACCGCGGACGACATTTGGCATCGTCACACATTTCAACACTTCCGAATACCGATATCCTTTTTTACAAAGAAAAAACAAGAGCAGTTAATAAATCCAAACAACTACGTTGCAAATCTTTGATTACATGAAAAGTATGAAAACAAGTCATCTTAATCCGCAGTTTTACTATTTTCATAAAATAAATCCAAACTGCGACATCAACTTGCGTCACATGTGTCTATTGTTGTTATTCCCACGCCAGTCCAATGCGTCGCACTTTGTATCACCGACAAGCGTCATCTAAGAAAAGAGTTATCTTATCTGCGAAAGTATGCTGTGAATTTCATATTAACCGCAACATGTCTGAGCAACACCGCGTAAGCTTGCTATGGCAAGCCTCCTAACCAGCTCCACAGCCGCAGCCATAGGAAAGGTCAGCAACAGTCAAAACTACCTCGAGCTGTGCTGAAATTACGTACAGGAAACCTAGATGGGCTCTTCAGATCGCTACATGGGAACGGACTTTGCTATTGTCTCTGTCATCGTTAATGTATACCTGCTGCATCAAATTACCGATTCTTCAAGCATGATACTTCAAGAAATGCAGCGAATAAATACACATGAGCCATTGTTATAAAAAGGTCACCGATAATCAATATGGCTAGACGCCAAAAGGGAGGCAAATGATAATGAAGCATTGGAAGTTGATTTGAAATTGATATGCTTGGAATGATATGTGTTTAAATGTTTGAGCACGCTTGGCCACCTTTTCGTAAGTCACACTTTGGTCATCGTTTTCTAAGGTCCGTGGCCAAAAATGAACTTAAAATAGTTTCCCTTAAACATGTAAAACGCGTTTAAGGGCGTATTCATTTTTAGGGCGCCCAGACAATCTTTCATTGACTTTGAATGCGTTATATTTGACAGCACTGAGCCATAAAACATCCTCCGACCTGCTTGACATGATCAAGTGTGACTGAACTCAACTCTGCCCCAGGCACGAGGTGGAGAACACAATTCGGGAGGGCGTGCGGGCGCTGAACTCGGAGGTGGTGGTGGGCCTGGCGCTGCTGGTCATCGTGCTGCTCATCTCCCCCATCATCATTCTCCTGGTCCGCATGGTCACCAGGACGCTACAGGCACGTCAACACGTCAAAAACACGTGATGGTCATAGTGATGCCACACGAGCTGTGAGGTTCTGCTTTCACTCAACACCTAACCATGCTATTCGGATGTTTGTGATGGTGATCGGCAAGCAACTATTCATTTTATCTTCATTATCATGAAAACCCAGGTGGCAAATATTCGCATTTGGTATGATGTGGACTGTGAGTAATGCGGATCTATGTTCAGGCCGAGGCCAAACTCATTAAATTGGAACACTGTTTACGAGCCGCAATCACATGCTCTTTCCACAGGCGTTCTCGGAAACACTCCTGGAAAAGACGCATGAGCTAAGCAACGAGAAGAAGAGGTCCGACAAACTGCTGTACCAAATGTTGCCGCCGACGGTGGCTCAGCAGCTCAGGCAGAGGAAGCAGGTGATCATGTAGAACTTACCCTCGCCACTGCTGATATACATTGATCAGAATCTGTTGATTGGGATCCGAGCGTCAAGGAGATCATTTAAACGACACAGCTTGATAGTGGACCATCTTTGTCGCCTCATTTTACATAATTTGGCTTTTCTTCTGATAGACGATCCTCGTCCCGTTTGATGATGATGACAGGATAGCTATGAGTGTGCGTGAGAAGGTCCAGTCGCCTCTGCTAATGAAGTCAACCTCTGCCATCCCCATAATCCCTTTTGTGCCCGATGCATCCCAGAGCGGATTTGGAACCGTCCAGGTCAGCAGTACAATGTTACGTTTGTCAGGCTTTGAGAAAATCTAAGTAACTTTTAGAAAATGTATTTTGTCTATCCAAACGGTCGTATTTGGCGACTGATGCGTGCAGCACTGAAAAAAGTTAATGGTTCTACAGAAAAAAACTATTAATAATTTGAAAGGCATGTAATCAATACGAAGAATTCATCCATACATAGGCACCCTCGGAACTCTGTGACAGCAGCAGTCTGCCAAGAGTGTCGTTCAGGTTCGCTGGAATGTATCGGGCTTCATAGAGTCCTCTTCGCAATGCCGAGTGATACATCAAGATGCGCATTACAAAACGCATGTCACCGCGCCGTGCTCTCGCGAAAATCGGTGCTATTCTGCGCTCTAAACCGGCACCAAGTATAGCAGCTTGAAGGCCGCGTCGGCGCCGTAGCCGTGAGCGCTGATCGCCCCCACCCCTTCACCCAGGTGTCGACGGAGGTGCACGAGTCGGTGACGGTGTACTTCAGCGACATCATCGGCTTCTACGAGCTCGCCGCTGAGAGCACACCGCTGCAGGTGCCTCTTGTTTCCTCTGACCTTGTGCCAGTCGCTAGATGTAAAAAGTGGCGACTTGTGGACTATAATGTAGGACTCTTTGTTAAGACGAATTGCAGTCTTTGTATCGTTCGTGAACGCAATGCTCTTCCAGGCTGCCATAGTGGGTCGTTTTTTGGAGAGGTGGGTGGGGGTGGGGATGGGGGCTGGAGGCAAAAATTTTGTTCATCCCATTAAGCATCTAAAAAAAATACATGACGAATCAAGTTGTCGTCATAGTCAAAGTTACAACATAGCTGTAGGCACTGCTATATTTTCTCACACACGACCCAATGCGAGCCTTCTTAGCCCACATTTCAGTATTCGCAATCATCATTTTATGATGAACGAAGCAGCGATCGATATCCCAAGGATTTGGTTTTAAAGGATGTCGTTCACGCTGGCTTGTAGCTCGTCAATGATGTAATAATACCAAGTCATGGCGCTACGCACAAAATACATTTTGCCGTACATCATGCAATTTCGGAACCGTGAAGAGTACAGAGAGCAAATGCATCAGAAGGTCAACCAACTGTTTATTTTAGGTGTGGTTTCTTGAATTCGAGTGACGTCATATCAAGTCACGTGGTCAAATTATACTTCGGTCTGCAAGTGATGTGTTGAGTGCGATGTGACGTGTTGAGTATTAATGAACCACGCTGTTGCCAGGTGATCTCGCTGCTCAACGTCATCTACAAGATGTACGACTCACAGATTGACTGTTATGACGTGTATAAAATCGACACCGTCGGCGACGCGTACATGGTCGCCAGTGGACTGCACATGAGACGGCCCGGTGGGTAAACCCAGAAACGCGCTTTTGTCCGGACACCCAGCTTATCCCCATACCGCAGCATGATTGTGCCCTACAGGGTAACGTTATGGTTAGATTTTGCAAGCCTAAGGTCTAACCATAGCAAAAGGCAAAAACCAGGCAAAAGTGATGAATTGGGCACCAGTCAAAGACGCGCTAGGCAGATGAATGTCTTGCTTTTCAGCATTTTCGCAGTAGAAATGTTTACAGGCAATGTGCGGCAACGTGTAAATCTGGGTTAATGCACCCGTTGTGTCGGCGATTCGGACACATACCTCATATGCCACCACAGTCAGTGGCCTGAATTTCACATCCCGTGTTGATATGTATGATCGATATGCGACCAAAGCTTTCATAGGATGGCGCGACCATATCCTGGTGCGCGCATCTCCTTTGTGTAAACGGGCAAAAGGCACTGAACTCCGGCGTCACCCATGCCCAACTTGGCCATTGTTCAGAAGACTGCAGGTGTCATGTTAGACGCAAATCACACTGTAATATCGATCATGTGCTGCAGACACGAATCACGCGGCGGAGGTGGCCCACATGGCCCTGGACCTGCTGACGGGCACAGAGAACTTCGTCATCCCGCACATGCCCGGGGAGAAGCTCAAGATCAGGCATGTCCTCTGCTTCGAGACAGCTCTAATATGATGACCAGTTACTGGTGGTATAGTAACCCAGTTGTAAAGGATAGTTCAGGTTTTCTTATCGGCAGTCTGGACCGCTTTCTTCGAGAAATTAGGCGCAAAGGCAGGCAGTGAAAAGTTTGCTAGGCAGACAAAAGGTCAGTACATCAGAGGTCAGAGAAACGTTGAAAGTGCAACGTTTTGCTAGTTGATAGCGCAACGCCTTGCAATGGCTATTAACTTACAGCAGCGGTACGTCCGTCACGCATTCATACGGACTAGTCACCTCTGCTTTATGGACACTATTCATTCCCATAACGACTTATTGAAGTTTTGATTGTGAAGAGAGCAATAACCGAACGTCTCATGGTTTAGTGAAAAAGATAAAAGCAATGCGTGACAACTCAAGCCCCGTTTTCCTTCCATTCCAATGTACCGTGAGACTGTTGGCTATTGCACTTTTCAAATCATTATCTTAACTCTCCACCGTGCGCTGAAGCAAACGTTGGCATTTCTCTTCCTGGAACTCGCTGCTAAGAGCCTAAACATTGCTTTCATTTTATGTGACGAATCAGACGGGCTTCGGGTGCTGTCATGACGTCAGGGTCTGCCATCAGGATCGGAGTCCATACGGGCCGGGTGGTGGCTGGTGTGGTCGGCACTAAGGGTCGGGTGTTGTCATGACGTCAGGGTCTGTCATCAGGATCGGAGTCCATACGGGCCCGGTGGTGGCTGGTGTGGTCGGCACTAAGGGTCGAGTGCTGTCATGACGTCAGGGTCTGCCGTCAGGATCGGAATCCATACGGGCCCGGTGGTGGCTGGTGTGGTCGGCACTAAGATGCCGCGCTACTGCCTGTTTGGCGACACCGTGTCAACCGCCTCACGTCTGGAGTACACAGGCCAACGTGAGTCATCGCACTGCCGGCTGGGTAGATGGTGGCATCAGCGATAGTAAGGCATGACCGGACACCGTGGGAGTCTGAGTGCACAAGTTTGTGCAGCGAGTGATGGACACTGTACTTGAACCTTGCAGCTGACCCCCACTTGGCAGTTAGCGAAGTGGAAGGGGTACATAATGGATCAGTTCTGCCTGTTTCGGGCGCGATTCAAGCGTCGTTCGCCCCGGGCATTGTCTCTTCTTACCCCAAGCGCGCACCTGACGCGATCCAAATGACGTCATCGATGCCACCTCGCTTACCGGCCATATGACTTTACTCCAAGTGTAAGCCTGACGCGATCCAAGCGACGCCATCGATGTCACCTCGCTTACCGGCCATAGGAATTTACCCCAAGCGTGCGCCTAACGCGATCCAAATGACTTAATTGATTCCACGTCGCATATCTGAGTCCTGCAGCAGCGACTACGCGGCTGGCAACCACGGGGCTCACCAGCACGCCTGCGTTTCAGCGTTCAAGATCCACATCTCAAGCGCGACCCGCAGCATGTTGGAGCCCACGCAGGGAGGCTTCATCGTGGTGCCACGTGGAGAGGTGGACGTGCACAGGGTAGGTACCAGGCCCCCTACCCATTCTGCCCATTCTGCTCATTCTGCCCATTCTGTCAGGATTTGGCGTCCCCCCGGTGAAATGCACAGGTGAGGCTGCAGGGTCGAGTACGTGCTTCTTACGTTGGGCCTGGTCTAGATCGCTTCACCGAGCTACCAAAGAACAGCCAAGTTGTCCGAAACGTGTTACACGCAAATACGTTGGACTGTGTGGCTTCCGGCGCCTGGGCATCAGGAGAACGTGCCATGCAAGCGTCATTTAAGTAGGCACCTGTTCATATGTCTGCTATTGCATCAGGAGAACGTGCCATGCAAGCGTCATCTAAGTAGGCACCTGTTCATATGTCTGCTATTGCATCAGCGGCTTGTTCTTGTCATTGGGGCTGCTGGGTGATCAACGAACTCATTCGCAGAACAAACCGAAGATGGAGACGTTCTGGTTGGTGGGTCGCCACAACGACACTAAAAAGCGGAAGGAGAAGATGGAACGAGAGAACAGCACGAAGGTCAGCGGCAGCAAGAAGAAGAAGGGCAACCCGTCGGTGATTAAGAAGATCCTCTGCAAATAACGCGTCCCTACGTTGACACAGCTGATGGTGGCTTCGCGGAGACACCGGCGTTGAAAGGTTGTTTAGAGCGGCGGATGGCTTTGGTTCGTGAGCCGAAGCGACTTCGCCAAGCGGAAAAAATTGTTGCACTGTGTAGGTATGCGCAGGCCGACGTGGCCATGGAACTTCGCACAATATCAGTCAGTCTTCCCGCCCTGTTTGTCGTCTTCGTTGAGTTACTGTGAGCGGTTCCCTGAGGGAACACTGGACGACACGGGATAAATGGTGGACAGTGCACGCCGCTGTGGCAGCCGCGTTGTTGGTACCATGCCAGTACCAAATATTCAGAGCCCTCGATGATCACTGACACACTGGTAGATTGTGGTATCCTCCAGGCAAAACAGAAGGTGTTTTGAGGCGCTTGGGCGAGACTTTGCTTTGTTCTCAAAGTCCCCAGTCTAAGCTGGCTGATTTGACGACCTTCGCCTCTTTGACGACCTTTTCTATTTGAACAGAAGCTACTTGAACAGAGGATTGAAACTACTGTGACGCCGTACACTTGGGTGTGATTATCAAGACGCTGACCTGTCGAAGTAGTTTTTAGCTATTTTTCACAAATACTTGCAGGAAAATCCATAGTTGGATTGCCATGTTTTCGGTACAGACTTGTCCGAGCATAGAAATTTTACGATTGTCCTAGAACATACGCCATACATTGCAGTTGACCGTGGATGCGACAGCCTTAAGAGAATGAGGATCAGCTGGCACTTTTTCTTCGCCAGCCCCTTAAAATACAGAATCGGGTGAACACAGGCTGCAGTCGCCAGTGCCGCGTAAGGCCCCATTTGTGCCGAGAAAGCTTAAAAGTATAAGGAAGTTGCTGGGACAAAACTGTCAAATCTTGCATCTGTCGATTGGGAGACGTTTGAATTATGCTTTTCTGAATAAAGTTATCGAAGCTGCTGAAATACTTGCCACCCGCTGTTGTCCACCAATCAATATTATGTCACCATGCACAAGTCTGCTCCTGGAAGGGTAATTGATTATAGGATCATGATTTCATTTATTTTGGCACCCTCTAGTCATTTTAACCCGTAAAAATCACTGAGGAAGTAGAAGCCGGGTGCCACATGTGATGAATCTTTTGCGTTAAGATCCTGACGCAACGCTTTCATAAAGAAAAATATTCCAATGCTCGCTGGAAGTATTTGCCACGGGAACAAGCAAAAAGCCACCGGGGTGTGGGGGGGGGGGGGGGGAGGGAGGGGGAGGGAGAGCAAAACCTGCGCAGGGGATAGCGTGAAAATCTGTCCAATACCTCTGCAGCATTCATATAATTGATAATGCATACACGTCAACTGCATATGGCTACAGCTTCCGATGTTTAGCCTCTATTTCCAGCCGTAGTCAACAAGATGATCGATGTGATTTAACATTTCGGTTGAAGCACACGGCGAGCAGCCTTTGCACGAGGCATCATGAGAAGCGTAAATTGAACGATGCAAGAAATCGTTATTTTTGAAAGAAATGCGGAACTGGTAATCGGATTTTGGATGGTCATGAGGTATCCTTCGTTACTGCCGCCGTGTGCTTGCTTGTTCTACTGTTTGAGCCCATGTTATGGAAATGAGTGTGCTGGGTGTCAAATGATGTCGAGCTCTGGTCTGCGTGACAGCTGCACCCGCGCGAGAGAGCTACGTGGCCGGTCGTTCACCGATTGCGCGGTGTCTGAAGGTGTTGATGGGAGCGTTATCCTGCTCACGATGCAGCGTAATGATGAATGTAGGGGATTTATTTCACAGCCGAGAACGTGGGTCGTGTCACATCCGTGGGTACCCACGAATTGGACAGGCTCAACTCCCAGCGCGTTGTATTTTCTCAAGTAAGGTTAGACGCAAATACCATTTATGTGCTGTCAACGATGTTTGATACTTTAGGTTTTCTCAAGTCTATCATCGAGTTACGCGGTGATGAGTTTCGTTTATCAGTGTGAACCAAACCTCCCCCAAATGAACACGCTTGATAGGAAAGCGACGTTTTGTTTTGTTGCCGCATGCAGTCGTTGAAGAGACCGACAAGCCTAGCATGACGTTTTTGGAATTGATGTTTATGGGCGACACGGTCAATAAATGTGACTGAAAGGATGTTGGGTGTGTCGCCTGAGCCCACGTCCGATTGGCTACGAAACGTCTTTAGAAAATAGCGATGATGAGGATCCAAGCTACTACAGGTCATTCTTTTGACGTCCTTTTGACATGACCTTGGAATATATGTGGTTCTGATTAAGTCACCATGATCCCATTGCGCGTGTTCTAGGGTACATGGCCAGACCGCATTAACCATGAAACATTGTGAACGTGACACAGATGCGTTAACAAAAAATGGGTACATTTTCAGCGCTATTTTGGGTCACTTCTGGAACATTAAGGCATGATGACAGGATGCCGTTTAAGATGGCCAGGCGTTTTTTTTTTACCCAACGTAGACTGGAGGGCTGTAGTGGAATACTTGAAAATTGAGTTTTTGCTTTGCATGGCCCAGAGTTATTGTAATGAAAAAAACAAGTGGTGGCCCATTCGGCCTCTGTAAGGTCGGACAAATAATTTCTTGAAAAGTTTTGGGCAAGCTCACCAGTGTTTCAATCAACACGCCATATGAAATTCCGAATCATATCCTTTTAAATATTACGGGAGCTGATTTCACTCAAACGATATCTTGCAATTTTGAGATTAATGTCGATTGCGCCAAGAATAAGCTATCAGCATAGTAGCGAGAAGCATAAAAAAACAAAAAAAAGCATGCGATTTATATCAAAACGTATGCACGTAAGCTTACCTATGTACCAATGCTTACCTGAGTATACCTGTATAATTTTGAATCAATTAAAAATACAATTACAAATTGGACAGTCAGATAATAAAGCAATGCAAAAGTTGCCAACTGCATTTGCAAGAAACGTTGTGCATGAATATATTCATAACAACAGGGTACTTATAGCATTATTTCTGATAGAATTACCGGGAAAATGGAGGGACAGATGGATCGATATTTCGGCCACAATTTATCTCTTATCGAAACAAATACCAATAGTGTGTATCAGTAATGCGAATGCACGTAGCGAATGCGTTTCAAAACATCCAGAGCTCATAACGTCTGGTGGAACTGATTACTGATATTCGTTTTCATAAAGGCATGCAGCCGAATTATCAATATATCCATCTCTCCATTCTCCTGATTATTCTAGGGGCAATACGGCTATTAGTAATGTCTTATCCATATGCGATGAATGGAGCAAATTGGGTACCAAGCAAGAGTAAACTTTATTAAGGTATTGTTTCCGTAAAAATGGACGTAAAATGCGGATAACGTGCTACGAAATGTGGCCATTGCACAGCCATGAGTCACATCGGTCACTCCCTGCAAAACTTAGAAGCACGCCGGCAGTATTTTTCGCGGCGCACCTAAAAAGCCTCAAATACACGTAACGGATGCGTGTTAGAACATCCAGAGCTCATAACGCCCATTAGTCAATACGTTCAAAATCGCTGCACCCAGCGCTCACAACATTCAAAAATTGTCTAATCTTCCTGGACAGAGGAGAATCACAACACCCAAGCCAGCAACATTCAAAATTATGACATTTTAAGCTTATAAGATCCGTCGCTCATGACGTTCAAAAGTTGCAGGACAATGCCAATTTAAGCTTATCAATCGGACACTGTAATTACTGGATGTTATAAAGTCTGGATGCCGTGACTTTGGACGTTGCCAGCTTAGATGATATGCTAAGCGCTAAGAACATTCCAAAACAGACATGGAGTTACGGGTCGAAACGTTGCGTGATCAAATGTGCCGATAGCACGAATGCCATGACACCAGTTGAGGATCTGATGGGAACGCTGGTCTGAACAATCATTCCATCTATATGAACATCTCTCCACAAACGTTCGGTAGAATCACTTTCATTGAACAGAAAATGCAAACGTCATCTTTTCAACATGGGTACCACCCCTGCATTAGGACATGAAGAAAAGATGGAAAATGCTAAACAGCTCCAGCACCTTGGTTCAAGTCATTTGGGAACAGCGAACGACTATGAAGTGCTTACACTTCAGCATTGGCATCTGGGCCCCGCATAAGGCTGAATATTTATACAGCTTACCTGCAAAATTTCAAACTTCCTGTTTTTTAAGATTTGATCAGAACCCTTTGAATGGATGGATTTCCGGGATCAGAGCTCACGCTAAGCAGTGCTTGTTGTGCGAGCCCCGACCCCACCATCCGATCGCGCAATTCCAGGCAACGGCAGAATTTAGTGGCGAAAGCTTTACGCGCCGCAATGCTCGGCACGGTCCGTCCTGCCCTCTGACGTCAACTGACCTTTAGCGCGACCGCTGCCACCGACCGCAGGCCATACCTGTCAAGGGCAAATAGCGAGCGTCCTAAAGCGACTCGAACCCACCCCGCCACGGGTGGGTGCATCGGAAGGCAGGCGCTCTAACCAACTGAGCCACCGGGACGGACAAACTGTCATTGTTATCGTTAAGCCATTTAGTAAATTATTCAACAGGTCTTCGCCGTTAGGCATATATCGAACTTCCAACTTTGTGGTAAACTCAAATGCTTGACAGATATTCAAAAACAAGCGATCACGTTCTGACCGAACAAACTACCGGCGCATCAGTTTTTGCCATGCATGTCCAAATTATTTGGAAGGCATGGTATTCAAACGCATCTATCTTCGCTCAAACACTAACAACTTGCTCACTGAACGACAGAGCGGATGTCGACCCCATCACAGCCACACCCATACAGCAAATGTACCTCTCACAGAACTTCAATAAGCGTGACTCAAACCCTACACAACATAGATACCATGCAAAGATCACTGCAGCAAGATTCTTTAAACGAAACTTTTGGCTATGTTAGGGAGGGGCCATCACATTTAATACGGACAAAAAGATACAGCAAACGTTCACGAACAGAACCGCACCAAACACGCCTAAGCTTCTGTTTGGAGGCAAGCCCATCCCCATAAACGATAGCCACAAACATTTAGAAATGCATCTTTGTAAAGATTTATGCTTTCACGACCACATAATGAAGTGACAAAACATGGAAATCGAGCCATCAGCCCACCTATGTCACATCTATACACTGTCCTATCAATCGTGCCGCTAGGCAACATCTTTTTAAAATTCCATCAAACAAATACACAATGTAATTTTGCTTCACTCTTCTCACATGATAAACACAGCGCACTAGTACACAGATCCTAGCTGGGTGGCGAAGGAGCTGTGCGGTGGTTAATGGTTTACAAGATTGCTTGCTGACCTCAGGCCGTTTCGGAACACATGTGGCTTGCACGGGCTAGCTGCGCGGGGCCCCCGCTGGGGTAGCGAGATCCAAAATAAAAATTGAGCCACACACGTAGCGATGGTTACACGACCTCTACGTTTAACTTGCATACGCAGAGAGTATGCGTCCTTTCGGTGGAGATAGTTTGATTGATTTTATTAAGCTCGAGACTACCAGAACTTAACGTTTTTGGGGTTATAAGAATGCAGGCAAACGCAATGTTTCGTACGCTGCCTGTCGAAAATGCAAACTTTTCATGATGGATGAATGGACGTCGTTCGATATCATTTTCTGGACATTGACATGTGCACTGCAGGAATTGTGCCTAGTAAAAAGTACTGTAATTAAATTGTTGTCTGGAACGAACTGAATACTCTTATTACAGAAATGTCTTCCGATCCTGATTTGACACTGGCCGATGGTGCGAATTCGATCCTCCTTAACGCAAACATTGCTGGTTTGCTAATATCTTACGCAGCTGGCTTTCTCCCTACGCTTTATTCCCAGGAGATGCCTTATTGCAGAATGTCACCCCAAGTGCTGGTATGTTTAAAGGTAGCTTTGTTCCACTTATAAGACAAGTCCACTTTACAAACGCTATATGTTCACTGCAGGGTAAAATTTAAACGACTGGTAAAAAAAGGTTGCGAAAGAATAGGGACGGAATGTCACACTTTTTAAGCATTAAGCACATTCTCATTTTGTCATATCCTCAAATCCTCCACATCACGGGTTTCCCAGCGTGGGTATGTCGCCCTGTCTATCCGCATTTCTTTAGCTGAAGGCACAGCAAGACGGTTGCACAAATCACCGTGAACGTGGCGCACACGATGGACTCAACCCTTGTGACGATCCACGAGATAGATTCACGCTCGC